TCGCTTGAGGCTCGCTCTTCACCACAATCACGTTTCCAGCAAAATTTATTCAAAAGCACAATTCTATTTAGAAAAAAGAACTTTTTCTGTACACCCCAAGTCTGTCACAAGAACCGGCAGAGGCTGCCTCTGACCACAGGCAGCCCAAAGTGTCCTCTCTGCAGCTGCCCACAGGCCTGGCCCAGCACAAAGCTGGTCTTCCTACCATACACTTGCTGGGTGGCGAGATGAATTGTTCTGCCACTAATGAACAGTATTTCCGAGCGTGATAAAACACTCACATACCCAGTGTATGTTTTGGAAATGTCTCAGCAGTTTTCAAAAGGAAAAAAATTCATTGAATTTAACCTGAGCTGGTTGTGCACCTCTGCAAGAGGAATCCCGGCATGTTTTAAATCACCTTAATTCTTTTGCAATTTCCTTAAGGTTTTCTCTTTTTAAAACTTCCCAGATGACTTAGACAGTAGACTCTTTGACCATTCCAGGCTTAGGAGCTGTTCTCCCAGGGCTCTGTGTCCCAGCACGTGTTGTGAGCAGCGGCCCTGATGGCTTCTGTCTCGCTGTCTGGTCAGCACTGTTTGCAGAGTGAGCAGCCTGGAGGATGGAGATACTGTCTCCCTCCCGGGCAGAGGACAGGCTTGCTTGCTCTTCAGTATACCAAAGACACTGTCTCCTTCGGGGCAAAGGTTAGCAGGTCTCCCTGCAGCTCTTGTCACCCCGAGAGCCCTAAGCTCCCTGCCACGAGGCCATCCACTGTGAGCTCCACACCCACATGTTCCTGCCACGGTTCCCCCTCAGAGACTTGGTGGAAAGGGGAAATGTCTTAGTTTCCTGTTGCTGATTAACAATACCTAAAAATGTGGAACTGGGCAGAAGCTGAAAGAGTGCTGAGGTGCAATGCAAGGCAGAACACGACCAGCTCTCCTTGAGCCTCTTGGTGGGAGCGTGGACGTTAGCAACTGTTAGTGAGGACTCGGAAGTGAGAAGCCTGACAGAGGCGTGTTTCGGGGAATGCCTGCAGCATCAGGACCAGACAGCTGGCAGGAACGTAGGCAGTAGAGGCGGG